GTGTATTTCTGCTCACAGTTCACAGAAACCAAGCTGAACAAAGAATTCTCATGCTCCCTCAGACAAGCTCAATAAATTTGAGGTAACTCACCTAATTATTGGAGTCATCTCATACCAAGGTTTTTGTCATAGCAAAATTTGCTTGCTTATATGTGTCTTTGTATTGCTTATATTTGTGTCATTATTCACTTTGTCTATAGCACACTTGTTTAACTGAGCTGGCTCAAATTGTCTACTGCGCGTATGAACAAATTTTGATTATCTTGATACTCTGCTGTTATTGTGTTTGCTAATTCTACCATAATTTTTTTGTTTATTGAAGATGACATTTATGGCATAAATTGAAGTCTGTTTCTCTATCATCACCTTATCTTAATGAATCCTTCTTCCGATGGCCATGAAGTCGATTACTTTTCCTACTAAGCCATGTCATGAAGGAATTCATTGAATGAATGACATAATTGTGAAAGAAACAAATGTGTGTCAAGCACAGAAAATAGTGGAAAATATTCTGACAAAAAATTAATAAAAATTAAAATAAAAAATGATTAGCGATTCAAATTAATTTCATCAACAGATAAATGCAAATTGCCGTGATTTTCATTTATGACTTTTATTTCATTATTATGCGCACAAAAAAGTGAATTTGTCGAATCTCATGTTGAATACCAACTATTGCATAAGTCACATTAATAGTTTCACGTCTAAAACCATAAAAATTGCCCTGAACGAATAAATGTTATACTTCGTCACCGGCTAAAATATAATTTATCCTGACTTTTTATTTAGAACACTTTTTTAATTTCCCCCAAAAAACTTATATGTTTCAATGCTGATTTACAGCGCACAACTACACAACTTAAACCTGCTCAAAACGATTTTAATTTACGTCACAAAAATTGAGCAAAAAGAACTTTGATTGGCATTTCAAATTTATTTCTGAACCTACTATAATATTCAATAAAATTTTGTTTTCTTTTGCAATAAACTAAATCAAAATTTTATGAATTAAATTTTTCTCTCAGCTTCCAATTTTAGACAAGTTCTAGTAGAATGGTATAATTATTGATTGGAGAGATGCAGAGTGCTAATTCGCTTATTTAAAAAAAGACTCCAATAGCAATTTATGTTTCACTTTAATTTTTTTTCGACCATAGAAAAGGCGGTTGACCTTATCGAACATGATATTTCAAATTACTTCAATATTTTTCTATAGGATCTTAAAACGTAAAATAAAATATTAAAATTGATTTCATCATCATGTAGTTGTTTTGCTGGTTGAATCAAATTACAGAGACCAATCAGAGACAATAATTGTGGAGCTGCCATGACGATATGCATGCTGGAAATTGTGTTCCCCTCACCGTGCTTCTACCTTTTATACATCCTGTCACATATTAAATTTCACAATCAACAAGACGCTTCTTGAGATATGACTTATTAAGATGTCATACTCAATGTTGAAAACCTAGTCAACAAAGTTTGGTCAAGTTTAGTACAAATTGCATTCAATTTTATCAATCAGTAAAAGAGCGTTACAAAATACAAAGTGAAACCAGATAGAACACATATACCCCAATCTATTGATCTAAATCATATCATCCTCCATACAAAACACATGTTCATCTTTCAGAATGTCAATTTCAGTAGCAAAATACAATTAGTTGTGCAAGCACTTATGACGTGAAAATTAGGCTTTTGAAACAAACTGTGCTCCATTATCTTTAAACGCTAGCACACAATTTGTTGTGTGCTAAGAATTTTATGACGAAAATGAGTTTACTCTAGTTATTGAAGCTTAATTGGCTACGAAAGGGTGTGGTCTATTGAATTGAATTTTTTAAAGATGCAATTTCCATTTGAAATCCGACAAATTGATCACGACCCCATCTCTAAATATGCGGATGGGTTCAATTTGATGCGATTTGTCAAAACTCGTAATTGTATATTCACGTCAAACGGGAAACTTTTCTCATTCTAGACCAAAGGCGGCACTGCTATTCCTGCCCATAAACTTGTCCTTTGTGCAAAATTCCAAACAATTAAGAACAATATCTTAATGAACAAACATGTCAACCTCTCAAATTGGAGCCGTTTTTCAAATGAGTAGGTCATTGTCCTAAACAACATTTCCAACTCATTAGCATTGTTATGGCAGTCGTCGACTTCGCCTACACTGACGAAATAATCATAAATGTTGAAAATGTTCTGGGGATATATCTGTTGGCTCACATTCTTGGCTGCCAAAAGCTGATTGACTGGTCAACGGATTTCATCAAGACAAGGTTCGTTTATTCTAACTAAAATAAACAAAATTTGTGTGCGTGTGTGTGTGAACGTTAGTGGAACAGTCACTAATGTACACTTCTTCATTGTCAGACATTCTTAAAATCAATAACTATGTAAGACGTTTTAGTGTAGTGAGTTGCCAATAGGAAAAATCGGGTCTTAATTAAAAATGAATAGTAAAACACTTTTTTTGCAAGAGATGCAAGACAATATCCTCCTTCATCTACCGTCCAACGTTTCTGGCACTACGACTCATGCACTAAGCCTTATTGTCTTGTAGACTTGATCGACTTAATTGGATGGAGGTTTGGTCAGCAGGTAATGTCACTTCAAACACCGATCTCATTGGCGCCTGCATACCAAGAGTAGCATATGATTTTGAAAGGTTACCCTCCACTCAGCCTTTCCTCCAACACGTGGGAGTCGACCAACTTCAACTTTTACTGCAAAGTCCTTTGATATGTGGTGGAAACGAAACAGTGAAATTCAAGGCACTCTGTACATGGTTGCGCGTCTCGACCGTGAATGCCGAAATCACTAAACGTGAAAGGCAATTCATGCATCTCCTGGAGTTCATCAACCTGAATAGATTGCTGAAAGAGTTTGTGACTGAAGTTTCAGTGGGTGGATTAGATTTCAATTTGACTGAAAATGCAAGGTACTGTCTCATTTCCATTATTGCATATTTGGTCATTTAGGAGAGTATTTCTAGACACGTTTAAGAAGTTGAAAGATTCTGTATTAGAAAGGTCTGTTCATATTTGACTGTAACACATAATGTGAAATACATACTCTACTGTGTGCTATCGTAGAACGAAATCTTTAGTCTGTGTTCATGGGCATGGAGGCAAATTTTTCAGTGGTGTCTTGAAGTCTCTTCCTGAACTATGTGGAGGAAGAACTTTTTCTTTCCCACTATTACGTCATAGATACAGCTGCACAGTTTCTTTGGATGGTTGGAGCCAAATTCAATTGCTTACTCCCAATTACTCTATTTCATTCATTGTAGGTTGTGTTTATACTCTGAGTGGTGAAAATGGGTTTTACCAAAGAATATCAAGAGTGGAAAGAATCTATCCACTAAATGGTGAAGTGACTTCTTTCCAAACAATGATTGAAATGAGCGATATATTTTCGGGAGTAGCTCGAGATTTTGCAATTCTAGTTTTTGGTGGATATAATTGGCAAAGTGTGGAACATTTTGACTCCTGTGAGGAATTCCTACCTGCAACAAACATGTAAGAATTTTATTTTCAACTTATGTGCATTTCCAAATATTTTGTCTGAAGCCCTTTTGGACCTTTCTGAATTGTAAATACACATCTTGCATTAACCAGAGTGCCTCTCCTTTCGTTACATCTCAAGAGTTCTGAAACAACTCGCTCATTTGTACAGCTTCTTTGGTATTAAGGTATTGGTGTAAGTTGGACATTGTTCCTGTTTCGAGTTTATTTGTTTTAATATGAATTTCGATAAAAGTTTCCAACTACAAATGATAATCAAAGACATTTCAAATATGGGATGGCCAGTCGTTTAATCATTCAGTTTGACAAGTTTTGAGAAGTCAAGTACATCTTCATATACAAATACAGATGATTGACTTGATCTGGTTTCAAGCTTAATTGCACAAATTGCCGATAAGGAAACACTCAGTAACACTCGCAGGTATCGGAGCAACAAATATTACTCGAATTTTTCATATTTTCTTATTGTTTTTAGGTGGAGGAAACTCCCACCAGTGCCAACGCTCAGGTACGCCACGGGAGCAGCACATATACCCGGTGTTGGTGACATAGTTGTTGGTGGGTATGCAAGAACAGCACATGGTGACCGGTGTGTCAACATTGCGAAAATCCTTTTGACAACATCATCGTCACTAGGGCATGCAGGCAGTTGGTGTGAAATCACTCGTATGCTTCATTCGAGGGTATCTCCATCAGCAGAATTTTTCAGTGGTAAAGTATACGTCGCTAGTGGTACGACTTCTGTGGAGATGGTGCCCTTATTTCCTGAAGACCTTCTCAGCGGACTTAAGTGATTAATGCCTTTTTTCAACCAACTTCGATAATCTCTATTAATGGAAGTCTTCTGTTTGGCAGTGAGTCAAGTTTACTTATTACAGTCTTGTTTTGAAAATAAATGGAAATATTTTCTTGGGTTAGAAATTGACTTATGCCTACAACGGGATTAACGTCTCACAAATAGGAAAATTTTCAATTTGACAATAAGAGTTCACAGCGTTAATTTTTTAAATTAATGTAATAAGTATAGTAATTTCTTGACAACGGAAATAATATAAGTACAGTTTGCATACGATTTCTTCCTTTGGAACTCAATACAATTTAATATTCTTAATTTAAATACGGCTTAATAAACCTTACCCTGCAGAAATCAATTTGCTTTAAAGTGTCAATTCAAATCGAAATTTATTTCTAACCAGATTTTACAGTGTTCTTTGCTGAAGGCTCTAAAGATCACTGGTACTTTTGCATTGACAACTCGTGATGAAAGGAAAGCAAAATGAGTAGATTTTGTTACTTCTAATATCCAATCGCATTCATCACTGATTTGTTGGGAGATTTAGATAAGCAATCTTGAATTGCGACTTAATAGAATCACTATCCAAAATATTGGGGACTTAGCAAAATAAAGGAGATTCTGTTGCCTGCAGGGTTATAGCAGGCGATGATACAGACGCCACATTTTTTTCCAACTAAACTACATAACATACAGTAAGTTCATATCAGTGTTGCTTTGAGTACTTTGATCACTTAGTTAAATTGAGTGGTAAAGCAATTTTCTTCCACTAAAATGCAATTGCCTAAAATTGAATTCTGTCAGCATGTTGTAGAAAAAACAGCAATCACCTGACTCAACTCAAGGTCAGTCATTTGAATGCATTAGTCAAATATGATAATATTTTCTCTTAACTGCAGCTTGCGAAGGAAGAATATATGAGTTGCAATTCAACCAAGACAACAAGGTAAGCTTCGTGTCATTGAAACTCAATGAATGGACCAATTGCTAATCCGAACCTACGTACTGTTAATTTAGAACTCATCAGGAGCAGTGTGTACTTGGAAGTTGATTTCTGATTTGGGCGAAATGGGAATATATCAATTCCTGAAGGTAACTGATCTCCCCTGATGCGTTTCCTTTCCTCCAATCTACAGCTGCTACTGTCTCGCTAGCGAACCGGTGTTAGAAAGTGACTGCAACATTTTAAAAATAAACATATAATGAATACATATATATTTCCTTATGTATAAATTGAACAATAAAATTTAGATATTAAAAATACTCTTCTCATTTTACTGAAATTCAGTTTAGTTTAAGAAACGGGAAGATTGCAATGATGTAAAGAAGTAAGCAACATCAAAAATCAAATATATTTATTATTTATATTGAAAAATTAAATATGATTTACATTTAGATTGTGCAGAGAGAGACAATTAAGAGGTGATTGAATATTGATCAGTTCAGAGACCGTCTCAGCCAATCAACCTTCTATATTCATTCAAGTTGTGTTGAATGTTCTAACTAATCACAGTTGCAGTGAGAATAATTTGCAATCAGCATTTCTCAAATCAAACGCTCTTTTGACATAAAATCGGCTCTTGACAAATATATCATCCTTGTGTGGGAATGACGCTAAAAGTTTGGTCAAACAAGCTCATCACCTCAACTAATGATTATACTACTCGCATTAGTTTCAATAGTGCCTCATTATCATTAAAAATGTTGATCCGACTATGAAAAATGAGGCAGGGAAGATAAGTCACCTTCAAAAGTTGCAAGCGGTGTCTGACTGTCTGCCTCTTTTATATCTTTGAATCACTCTTATGTTCCATCCCCCCTCTCGACTTTTCAATTTTTATTTTTCAACTTATTCACAAGAAAATGAATGTTTTTTATATTTCCTAGACACGAGTTAATAGATCTTAAAAAATGTTGATCCGACTATAAAAAATGAGGCAGGGAAGATAAGTCACCTTCAGAAGTTGCAAGCGGTGGGTGTAATCGAATTCAGAAATCAATTTCCAATATTAAACCGGCCTTAAGAAGTTCTGAACTAACAGTCAACAGAGCTTGAAAAATAATTTTTACTTCCATGCGGTTTTATCGCCACAAATTGCTATAATTCAGATTTCACTACTACTTTCTTTTTCAATAAACTTTGAGTGGAGTCTGGTGAACGCTGTTATTCAAAAGCATGTTTCCTCAATCCAGTTATTTTTCCTTACACTTTGAGCATGAAAAATAAATTAAACAACAAATTTTCTAATTGATCAATACGCTCAAATCAACAGTGGTAGAAACCCACTGAAAAATATGTTGACATGAAAGTTCTACAGGTTGAATCAAGACAAAAATATCTTCATTCATTAAAAAATCAACAACTTGATGCTTGCGTTCCTATCCCATTGACTGATCTTCATACGATTATCAGTTGTAAATGTTGGATTAACTGATCACACTATTGCTAACTATACTACCACAATGGACTAAAATTTTTTTAATGGTCAGTTCTGAACTGTGCCATTTCTAATAGCGAAATTGTCAACTTTCCTTTGCTGTGACAAAATGACTGCCATCAATCACGCATTTACGCCATTTTATCGCCTTTATGTCACCTGAAGCTCATTTCCATGAATTTTCTGTCCTCATTTTTTATTTGCCTTTATATTGCTCCTCTGCTTTGTCCACCTCACTTTCATTGTGTTCATTAAAAACACACAACTAACAAGGCGTCTTGTGAACCATCGTTTCATTCCAAGAAGTTGGAAGGCAGGCGCCAAATCCACTAAAGTCGAGGAAAATTTTTCAAAGAATAGAAATGGTAAAATTCTCATATGGAAATGGATGAAATTAAGATCATCCTTTAAATGAGATCAATTAGCACCTGAGTAGAAAGTTGAGAGATATCGTTTTAGGATAATCTTTACAAATCTTTCAAATTGAATTGTCACCATCCTCATACCCCCACCCTCGCTTAACAAAAGTTGGTCATTAACATATTTGATGCTTCCACTCTTTCTGATTCGCTCGGCTCTTCCACTGGTCGGAGAAATTTCTATTTTGTTTGTGCGGAGTCTTTCTTAATTGGACAGGTCAAAAAGCAAGAATTAATGAAATACCAAAAGACTGGAATACGATTGAAAACGTTGATTTTCTTGCATATAATACAATCAATCTTTCCTTTCGAATTCATGAGCTTGGATATGTGCGCATATTCTAAGTGGATATTTTCCGTTTGTGGTGCTATTCCAAGTTTTAATCTTCATTAAGGGCTGAGATTTGCTTTTCCCTATTCAGAGCCTTTGGTGCTGTCAATCTTAGCCTCTGGTTAGCCAAGAATAAAGAGACTTATTTGAGATGAGAATTGTTGGATCCATTTGTGCTATATTGACGGAACTCAAATTCGGCCCAACTCGATTGCTTCTCTTTGTTTCCTATCTTTATTGTCTAAACACAGTTTATCTGTGCTTGGATTGTCTCAGAATCGCGAACAAAGTAACAATAACCGCCTTTGTTCTTTTCATGAATATATCAATATAACGATATTTTACCCACGTGGCTGTCCAATGTTCATTTATGGTTTTTATTAGAAAAAGGAATATTTAAGGCACTGCTTTCCGAAACGAACTTGATTACAGATTGAAAGTGTATCCTCTGTCACCCCCACTATCCTCTTTCAGGCCACCATTGGTTATTTTTGGTAGTTTATCCTGAAGAAATCACAACTGCAAAAATCTAATTTCGTTTAAAAATGGTTCATTTTACATTCTTATTCATAGTTGTCTATAAAATCAGGTGACCTTCCTATCGTTGTTGCAGTGCCATGGGATCACCTTGACACAGTGATTACGTCTGCCTTCAGCAGTTCAAGTTAGCGCTTTCGAGCTTTCCTGCTTCCAGTTCCGCCAATTTAAGTCCTGCTTTATGCTCGCTAGCACATTCTGGAATGAAACGACGGTCCATAAGGTGCCATGCTTGTTGTGTCAAATAAATACAATGAAAGCGCAGTGAAGAAAAAGCAGAAGAGCAGTAGGAAGGCAAAGGAAAAGAATGAGGACAGCAAATTTCTTGCAAATGGGCTTCAGGCGACATAATGACGCCAATGCGTGACGGATAGCAGTCGTTTTGTCATCGCTTGGAGCAAGGAAATGAGGATGAATACCAACTTGAAATTCACAAAATCTAAGCGAAGTCATAGAAATGGTCAAACACTTTGGTTAATGCAATAAAAACAAATAAGGTTAGACCACTTGGTCACGGTTTCTTTACCACAGACTTGCATCAAATTATTTATTACTACTTTTATGCATTCAGTAAGAGGAGAAAAAGCCGCGAATGATACCAAATTCTCTATTAAATATTTCTATATAAACGCATTCCAAAAGTATTAGCACGTTTCAAGACCAATTTATGGCAATATTTCATGATCAAAGTTAACTGATTCTCAGCTTGGAAAATTCAATGAAATATTATTTGCAAATAATCAAGATCCAATCTAAATTTATCATTTTGCTTTCATATTCATATTGGAATACCAAATCAGATGTCCTTCCAATCCTTGTTGCAATGTGAACAAATGCACAGATTTCAGCTATCAGGGGATCACCTTGGCACAATGACCACTTTCCTCTCTAAGCAGTTCTTGTTAGTACGTCCATAGTTGCATACTTCTAGTTCAACCAAATTGAATCCCGCTTGATGCTCCATAACACCTTTTGGAATGATACGGTGGTCCATTAAATGTCTGGCTTGTTGTGCTAAATATCAATGCAAATGCAATGGACAAAGGGGAATGGTACTAAAATGACAATGGAAAAAATGTGAACAAAGAATCCATGTCAATGTGCGATAGGGGATCATTAGGGGATACGCGTGTGGAAGGTAGCAGTCATTATGTCACAGCAAATGTTTCCATCGTCTTCAAAAAATATAAAGTGGAATATTTTCTTCCAAGAAATTAAAATATTGGATTTGTCCACGGACCAAGTTGGTTGACAACTTCATGGTCGACTACTTGGG